ATTCTATTCTATTCTATTCTATTATATTCTATAATATTCTATAATATTCTATAATATTCTATAATATTCTATTCTACTACTCTGTTCTGTTCTATTCAGAATTCTCTTATTCTATTCTATTCTATTCTATTCTATTCTTGTGTATGATTATTTGACATCATTGTGGCTTATACCAGACGTGATTCATAACCGGGAGCAGAACAAAATCTCAGCATTATTTTAACCAGTAAAGAAAAGAAGGGATAAAAAAATAAGTAAAAATTCCATAATAGTAGGCAAGTTGGAAGAATATAAAGGCAGACAAAAGAAACCAAATCTTTAAAGACTGTGTAGCTTTTAAAATATTCTTACAGCTTAGGAATGTTCTACACTATTCTATTTTCTGATGGGAAAGAGAAGATAAAGCAATGTAATACCCTGTTTTCCCAGAAATAAGACCTCCTCAGATAATAAGCCCAATCGGGCTTTTGAGTGCATGCACTAAAATAAGCCCTCCCCTGAAAATATTGCAACCCAACAGCAGCCATGAGGTAACCACACTTACCGCCTCCTGCACCTCAAAAATAATAAGACCTCCCCCAAAATAAGGCCAAGCGCTTATTTTGGGAGCCAAAAGAAAATAAGACCCTGTCTTATTTTCGGGGAAACACAGTACTTATGTGTTCTTCAGCTCTTCATTGGATGATCTACCAGCATAGAGGAAAAATAATACATTAGCATTCATATTATATGCTTCTAAAAATTGGTTTAAAAAAACAATGGTCTTTTACAAATTCCTCAAGTAAAAGAGTACCACATTTCCAACAAAGCAATGATCAAGAGAATTAGGAATAGCTATTTTAAACTTGGAATCCAACTCTTTTGCCACTATCTATTAAATGTGTCATTTCCTCATTCCTTCAATCTTGCTTTTGTGAGTCTTTTTATTTCCCCCTGTGTGAAAGCAGTATAAGTAGAAACTTGGTTCTTGTCAGCTTGCATTTATGGCAGAGTATTTTCTCTGTCCCTTCTAATAATGCTTTCCGACTGAATATTTTTGGAACCATAATGAAATCATATCATCATAACATTGAACAAAAACATTGAGGCTATAGTTTTAAAACATAATATCTTGGAATAAAATGAGTGGAAGTGAAATCTAAATTAATCTGTTCATAAATCAAGGCAATAGTTTTGAGGGTGTGAAGAGAGCTTTTTTCTGTTAAATACGAAGGATACATTGAAGATGAAAAAAAGAGATAGTGTATACACAGAAACCAATATATATGAAGTCTTCAAATTTAGTTCACACTCTAATGATTTTCTGGACACAACAAGATCAATTTTCATATGATTTTATTGGTTGAGACCCTAGCATTCCCTCGTGGCTGTCCTCAAACGACTCACCAGTTGGAAACTCAACTTAGCTCCTTCCTTCCTTCCTTCCTTCCTTCCTTCCTTCCTTCCTTCCTTCCTTCCTTCCTTCCTTCCTTCCTTCCTTACAAACATACCAGAGGGGTATTCAGCAGGTTCTGAGCAGTTCTGGAGAACCGGTAGCAGAAATTTTGAGTAGTTTGGAAAATCAGTAAATACCACNTGTGTGTGTGTGTGTGTGTGT